CGTCGCACACATGGGGTCCGAGCAGATGGGGGTCGGATGGTCGCGCCCCGCCGCCAATGCATCGTCGATGCATCGGCGACGTCGGCGCGGAGAAAGTCGGGCTCCACATCGAGCCACACTGCCGATGCATTTGCGATGCGGCAGTGGCCCCCCGACCCTATCCGCTCGGACTGCACGCCAGGGTGCGCCGAAGATGGGGGCTACGAGGGCAGGGGTTAACGCATCATGGCCCGAGGCATGTGCGCGGACGAGAGGGGGGGGGGGCATGAAATCTGTGGAGCGAATACTGGGGCCACGAGATCTGGGAGACCTTATGGCCAAGGTCACGATATCTACACACTTGTTTTGGTTTGCGGGGCGAGAGCGAACCTATTCCGGTAAAAGCTCAGCGGGCTACGCGCAGCACAAATAATACGATATCTACACACCCCTACCCTGATCTAGTGGACTCTTGCTTGTTGGGGCTTTCTTTCAGCTGTTTTGTCGTGTTTTGCTTTTGTTCTGTGCTCTGCTCTGGCCCTCCAGGATGGACACCGCATGGCTGGACCTGTGAGCCTGACGGCGGCCGAGGCCCCAGGAAAACACTGGGCGGCCTGCCGCTCTGCAGTGCCCGGCCCCTGCCTCTCTTGGAGCGCCACAGGGCGGCCCCCGCCCGCCGCCCTGGGGCGCCTCACGGCCACCTCGCGGGGGAGCCCCACGGCGAGGGCCCGGACTTCTTCCGACGGTGTGCCGCGCTCCGTGCGCGGCCGGGGACCGACCGCCCCGGCATTCCCATCGGCCTGCCGCGACATGTTGTCGGAACCCAGACATCTTCGAAGAACAAAGGCAATGCTCTTAGAACCTCAGCCTGATGTGCCAAGACAACGCGGCCCCAGCCAGAACTGTTCCAAGAACCTCCCGTGCAAACCACAACAGGTTCTCAGAACATTCGTTGGTGGGCCTATAGGCGAGCCAAGGCGCTTCGCCACTGCTTGAGGAACCCTTGCCCGGTACCAAAGGTTCGCCCTGGCTCCGCTTCTCGGTGGCCCCCGGGGCCCGAAGACGGCCCCCGCGGACCGAAAACCCAACGACAAGACCAACGACACGAACAGCAACCACAACAACAACAAACATTTTTTAGACTGTTCGCCCTTATCTGCTCGATTGTCCAATAACGCGTATTTCCCAAACCCTCGATACCCGCCCTCATCGTCTTCGATCGAACCCCTTTGGGGTGGTATACCTTTCTTCCCTGCAGGCCGGGCCCCGGCAAGCGGCGGGGCGGCCGCGGACCGTCGGCCTGGCCAGCGGCAGCGCTGATCGGCGGGACGGCCGCGGACCGTCGACCCGACCCCAAGAAGGACGGACAGGGGACCGACCACGACGACGACGACGTCGACGACGACGGCGACGACGACGGCGGCGGCGACGACGAGCGAAAGCGAGAGCGCGAGAGAACGACAGCAGGGCCACGAAGGGCGGCAGCGGGGACACGAAGGGAATGCGTATGGGGCCAAGAAGAGCGCGAACGAGCGGGGGCCACGAAGGGCAGAGAATGCAGGGCCACAGAGGGCAACGATGGGGCCACTGAGGGTAGCAACTGGGCCACGTAGGACAGTGAGGGGGCCACAAACAGCGACAGCGGGGCCACGAAGGGCATGCACATGGCGCCACAACGGGCGCGACTCCTGGGTGCCTGGGTGTCGGGAGCGCGGCGCTTGAGCAAATTGCAAAAAATCCAACGCGAGGGAGATATTCTTCAGTAAATTGCAAGCAAGTCTCCAGCGAGAGCGCGACTCCAGTGCGCCGGGAGAGCGATTCCTGAATAAATTCTAAGGAAGCCCCAAGCGAGAGCGCGATTCCTGAATAAAATGCGAGGAAGTCTCGGGCGGGAGTGGGGGTCCTGGCTAAATTGTGAGGGAGTCTCAGGCGGGAGCCGTTGTTGTTGTAACCCGGGGCCAGGGGCACAGTTTGAGCATCAAGACTTTCCCTTTCAAAAAACAGGGTGCGAGCGTCGAGGGGCACATTTTTATTGAGAAACAAGAATATGCCCCGGTGGGGGGATCAACAATAATTACTCTTCAAAGATGAGAACTCAACAACAACAACCAACAACAACAACACCACCAACAACAACAACAACAACTGCAACAGCAACAACAACAGCAACAGCAACAGCAACAGCGACAGCAACAGCAACAGCAACAATCACAACAGCAGCAACAGCACCATCACCAACACCAACACCAACACCAACACCAATACCAACACCAACACCAACACCAATACCAACACCACCACTAACAACAACATCATCAACAACAACAGCACCACCACCACCAACAACAACAATAACAACACCAACAACACCACCACCACCAACAACAACAACAACAAACCAACGGCGGTCGAGAAACGATACGTCGTTGAAGATCGACCCCAGAGGTTTGGCCCACTCCCCCAGGACGGCCCCTTCTTCCTTCCGAGTCCTCCTCCGACGGTCCTGGGGCTCGGGGAGGGCCCCCAGGGGCCGACAGACTGTCAAGGATCGCCCCCCCTGCCGACATCTTCACGCCGCGAGGGGGTCTGGATCTGGCGCGGCGCGATGCGCGGCCGTGGCGCCCTCTGAGGAAGAGGAGGATGAGGAGGAAGAGGGGGAGGAGGGGGAGGAGGAGGAGGAGGAGGAGGAGGAGGAGAAGGAGGAGGAGGAGGAGAAGATGAAGGAGGAGGAGGAGGAGGAAGAGCAGGAGGAGGAGGAGGAGGAGGAGGAGGGAGAGGAAGAGGAGGAGGAGGAGGAGGAAGAGGAGGAGAGGAGGAGGAGGAGGGAGGAGGAGGAGGAGAGCAGGAGGAAGGAGGAGGAGGAGGAGGAGGAGGAGAGGAGAGGAGGAGGAGAGGGAGGAGGAGGAGGAGAGGAGGAGCAGGAGGAGGAGGAGGAGGAGGAGGAGGAGGAGGAGGAGGAGGAGGAGGAGGAGAACGAGGAAGAGAGAGAGAGAGAGAGAGGGAGAGGCGGCCGCGCGCCGCCCGCGGCCACGGGCGCGCGCTCGCGCCCCCAGAGGTCCAGGCGCTGCCCAGGAGGTCCAGCCGCTGCCACTTCTCTGTCGGGGAGACGTAAGACCCGGGTACGGGGGACTCGGAAATCCCCGACGAGGTCGTCAAAAAAATGACGGGGCCGAGCCTGCATTTTGACGAGGCCTCCCGCTGCAGACATCCCACGAAACTCCTCCTCGTCAAAATCCGAGTCGCGGTCGTCAAAAAACGATGGCGAACCCGAGTCCCGGCAAACCCGGGTCTTACGCTCCCCCGACTCTGGCACAACGCTTCGCTGGAGGGATCTTTGCTGACGGTAACGTTCCGCTGATGGTAGCCTTGCCGTCGCTCAGACGTCCACTTCCCGTGCATTGTTCGATTCCGTGCGTGTGGTTTTTGCTCGATGGTCCAGGATGGTCCTCGAGGGTGCTCGCCGAGAAACAAATGCACACGTCCGAGCGATGCCAAATAGCGCTTCGCTGGCGGGATTCGCTGACGGCAACGTCTCGCCGGAGGGATCTGCTGACGGTAACGTTTCGCTGATGGTAGCGTTTCGCTGGCGAGATTCGCTGACGGCAACGTCTCGCCGGAGGGATCTGCTGATGGTAACGTTTCGCTGGCGAGATTCGCTGATGGCAACGTTTCGCCGGAGGGATCTGCTGAAGATAACGTTTCGCTGATGGTAACGTGTCGCTGGAGGGATTCGCTGACGGGAACGTTTCGCCAGAGGGATCTACTGATGGCAACGTTTCGCTGATCCACGCATTGAAAGATCAGTACAACAGATGCTCGCCTTGTTCGGGGGGCCCTCCAGCCCCAAGACCGTCAAAACGCTACTCCCCATTAAAAGCCGGCCCTTGGGGTCGGGGCTCCCGGGGAACCCGTACTGAAAAGTTCAGCGTGTCGAATATCTGGGCAATAGAGGTGTTGAAATAAACACCACAGAAGAGTCGGGGACGGGGAGGAGGAGGCCGCTTGGTCCAGCAGTCGTTCCGCCTGAGTCTTCCTGATATCCTACTCAAGAATCGTGCTCTCGCCTCAGTGCTGGCTACAGTGCGGGCGCGGCCGCAAGAAACCCTCGCAAGAAACCCAACCCTGAAACCCCGCGCGCGAGGTGCACCTGAGGGGAAACCTGGAGCACCCTAAACGTAGCAGCTTCTTTGACGGCCGCGGGAGGTCACCGCGCAGCGCGCGGAGCGAAGAAACCTAGGGTACCCTGACGAAGAGCATATGGTTTCTTGATGCGCGCCCCCACTGTATTCAAGAGACGTGCTCTCGCCTCAATGCTGGCTACATTTCTGGCCCGGATGGCCACGATCCCCTGCGGGCGTGCTCTCACCCCTGTCCGCTTCAGCCGATCTCCTAATCCTCGACACGCCTCATCGCCTTTGCTGCTGTTGAGTTGCGTTCTGGGGTAAGTGTTTCCCCCCGCGCACTTTGAAAGCCGGTTTCGGCCATCACAGGCCCATTTGGTTTGAAAAAAGTGGCAGGAAGTCCTCCTCCTCCTCCTCCTCCTCCTCCTCCCTTCCTCCTCCTCCTCCACCTCCTCCTCCTCCTCCTCCTCCATGTCGGAAAAGGCCCGCAGGAAGATGGAGTCCAAGACTCTGGTCGTGACTTTTCAGGATGGGGGTCAGGAGAAGCAGGATGGGCGGGAGGATGGGCAGGAGAGGGTCGGTCAGAGGGATGACGGGGGGAGGAGGGGGAAGAGGTTCCAGATATCGCCCCTGGTTCCTGAGGTGACAAAAGATGATGGAGGTGGCCCAGGATTTTTCTTTCTCTCTCTCTCTCTCTCTAGAGGGGTACCTCAATGGACTCATCCCCCAAGGCAGGCAAGAGGCAAGAGGAGGAATGAGACAGGATGGTGGCGGGAGGATCGGGGGAGAATGGAGGGAGGAGGGATGGAGAAGGAGGAGGAGGAGGAGGAGGAGGAGGAGGAGGAGGAGTAGGAAGAGGAGGAGGAGGAGGGGGAGGGGGAGGAGGAGGGGCTGCCGGGCTCAGGGGGGCCCGTGCTCGTCGTCCTCGGGCTCCAGCCCGTCCTCCAGGGCGCTCTCGGCGAGGACGCCGCAGACCTCGACAGCATCGCTCGAAGTCGGAAGGTTCGCTCGCTCGCTCGCTCGCTCGCTTCGCTCGGGCGTGCTTCGCAGGTCTGGACACGTGTTTCACCCGACCTCGGCCTCTGGAGGGCTCCTCGTTGCCACGGCTGGCTCCGCCTCGGAATTCTACCTATTCTGGGCAGAGCGCACCACCGCACAGGTCGAGGGTCAGATTTTGGACCCCTGGACGGGGCGGCGATCGGCGGGCCCAGATTTCCGACGATATCATTCCTCAAAAGATAATCCTGGCGCTTTTCCTCGATTTCGGTGTCCAAGGCCCGTTGTCTGGCCCTGGGGGCCAACAAACATGGGTTCGGGGAAAACCTTAGGCCCTGGGCGAGGCGTCGGGAACCCCTGGGGCCGCGGGCTGGAAAAATCACTTTGCAGATTGTGTCTGGGTCTGTTCGTTCCACGTCGTCGCCGTCGTCGTCGCTTTTCGTCAACTCGTTCGTTGGATCGTCCTCGTCGTCCGTGCGTCATTCATTTGTTCGTTTGCCGTCGTTCGTTTCATCGTCATCTTCGGGTGGGAGTCCACACGCCCCGCGTGTCCTGAGATGCTCCCGCGGGGCAACTCTGGGCCTCTCTTGGTGGCCTTTTGACCCGCCCTGGAGGCCTTGAAGGCCAGCCGAAGGCTCCGCAACCACTGAAAGACCAGCTGGCGTACCCTACCCTACTTCCTATGTCGGCGCCGCCGTGTTATCGGCTATACGCAAGAGTGACCCTCGGTAAGAGTGACCTTTGGTGCGCGACTTTTGGGGGGCCGCCTGGGGGACCAAACCTGGGCGCGCAAGCCGATGCTACTGCTTCGTTTTCAGCCACCTGGGAACCCATCTGCGCCCGCACCAAAGGTCACTCTGGCGAAAGGTCACTCTTACGTCTAGTCGATGTTACCATGCCTGTCACCGACGCGCCACGGGTCAGCTAGGGAGCACACGCCTTCCGGCGCGCGGACCGGCTCGCCCGCGTGCCTCCGCCGCCGCGGCGCTGCGCTGCTCGCTCGAGCTCGCGGGGCCTCGCCCCGTCTCCGTTGTTCAACCCCGCCCCGTCGAGGTCACGAGCTCCTCCACGGCCTTGGCCGCGGAAGGCACGACGCCCCAGTCGTGGCAATGGCGTCGGCACAGTGCGAAGGTTCGCGCGCGCGCCCTCCCAAGAAGGTTTCATAATCTATAACCCCGATCTGGATGCGGTGCCTGCGCCGATAAAAGAGAAAAACAAAGTCCCGCGCGCCGGCGCCGGCGCCTGTGATGACAGGGCGATGCCTGCACCCTTTCATTCGACGTGCCGGAAGTGCCTGCACTTTATCGAGGCTGGTGCTTGCGCCCATACAACTCATGCCCGCCAAGCCGGCGCCAACAACGCAACAGCAAGAATATGCTACCACTTGACGTGCCTGCGGTGCCTGCGCCAGGCCACGCGTGGCGCTGGCGCGGATGCATCGACGGCCCCTTCGGTGCCTGCGCTGGCAGCCCGACAACGAGGCGATGCATGCACCATTGTATTTGACCCGCCTTCGGCGCCTGCGCCTTGCAATGCGCACTGCCTGCGCTGATGAGACGACAGTACCCGCGTCGCCTGCGTTCGCGCAACCCCGGCGAGGCGACACCTGCTCCATGTGGTTCCACGTGCCAGCGGTGCCCGCGCCTGGAAGCGCGCAATCCCTGCGCTGAAATGCATGCAGCAACCCTGGCGATCGCGGTCACAAGAATCTCCATTGCGCCCCATCGCGCGGATCGGCTCCCAGTAGGGCCTCCCTGCTTCCTGGAAAGGTGATGAAATTGGAGGACGCCTGTAGTTCGGTGTGTATGTGTGATTGTGTGTGTGGATGTGTGGATGTGTGTGTGTGTGCGATTTTCGCATGTGCGGCTTCTCGGTCAGAAGGGCGTACATGACGACCGCAGAAGCACTTAACACCTGCCCACGAGGGCCCCCGAGGTCTCTCAGAGTGGCCCAAAAGGAACCTACAGGTCTCCGAAAGGGGCCCCAGAGGGGGAACTCGAACTGACATCTGGAGCCATCCTCCATCAGCAAGACCGCCAGCAAGACCCCCACCAAGACCGCCAGCAAGCCGCCAGCAAGACTGACAGATGGCCCTCAAGACCGCCAGCGAGCCCCTAAGAGGAACCGAAGATGCCGAGGGGGCCCCCGTGAATCTCGGACAGGCATGCAAGAGGCAGTCTCGTCCACGAAGAGGAGGAGGCACAACTGATTCGGGGTGAGCGGACAGCTTCGGGACTTGGGGCCGTTGTCCGAGCATGGCCTCCAAAGTCCCAACGCCGATTCGGGCACGGCGATGACAGGCAATGGAGATATGCCACGGCCGCCCATGGGCACTCGTAGACCGTGCGTCCCAAGCCATAGGCGGCAATACCTGCGCACGCCCACCGTACTGCACATTGTCTGGTGAGGTCTTCGGGGTTTCGAGGTCATCGGACAGACTGTCACCACACGGTTTCGGAAGGCCCTGGGAGAGAGAAGTGATCCCTCGACCGAAACGCTCCAGGTCTGGTCTGGGACACCTCGACTCTCTCCCTGGAGCCTAGGGTAATGTTGTTCCCATCCTACTTAAGGACCACATCCCAGAAAATTTCGACCACCCAGAAAAGTTACAAAAGAGTGTCGAAACAGTGTCGGGCGAGTGACTCCCAGGGCCCGACACATGAAATCCCTTGAGTTTCGATATTATTTTGGGCGCTCGAAATTCTTTCTGGTGGTCAAGGCTAAAGTAGGCTGGAGCATCATAAGCCTAGGGCTGCCTTCTCATCCCAGAGGCCGCTTCTCGATGGCCTCTGGGCCCGAAGCACGGCCTGCGGAGCGCGACGAAGAGTCTGGGACTATCGCACTAGGCGCGCGGCAGTGTCGGGGGAGCCGAAACATCAGACTCGGACGGACGGCGCAAACTGAAGAGAACAATGCGAGGGCAATGACAGGGGGGGACGCAAGGGAAAACACGAGCAGAGGAGGTACGCGTGGAGGAACTGGGTGAGACGGGGCGGAATCAAACCCGACAGCTCGTTGAACCAACGATTTGCGCCCGAAGGTGTCGCGACGCTCCTGCTACGGCGATTTCGCTGGAACCGCGTGGTCCCGTTGGCCCGCAGGGGCGCTACTATATCAGAGGGATCAACCCACATTGACTACCTACCAGACCACCCCAACCCAACCCGAAGACCCGAATTTCGGGTTGGGGGGGGTAAGGGTTTCACATGTGTTTTTTCAATGTTTCCCGACCCCACCCCCACTGGAAATCGAGGGTAAATCTGAGCCTTCGGGTTGGGTTGGGGTGGTTTGGTGGGTGGTGACACATGGACCCCCAAGAATACTCGCCCTCCAGGTCACGAGACTGGGGCTCACGCTCAGGACGCTCCCAATGCGCGGGCTGATCCGAAATACCTCCAACACGTCTCCCGAACCCCCAGCCTGGACCACCTTGCAGAGTCAATCAACATCGAACCTTATGTTGTTCCCACCGTGCTTAAGGACCTCATCCCGGAACTATTTTCGAGCACCTAGATCAGTATCGAAAGAGTGTCGAACGGGTATCGCCTCCCAGGGCTCGACACCAGACAACCCTCCAGCTTCGCTACTTGCTTGCTTCTCGAACTTCTTTCTGGTGATCAAGGCTAAAATAGGTTGAAACATTCTAAATCGAACCCGGGAACTGGATCAAATCGGAAGGTGCGCCGGATCGGGCACCACTGGTGCGGAATCGGAAACGAATCGGATCGACGCCATGCCAGCGCCCGGCCGAATCGGATCGACGGAAACTCGAAACCGAAATTCGGCAGTCGGAACCAGATCGATCGCGAACCAAACATGGAGCCTGCCTTGGGCCCTGTAAATCAGCTTCTCCTCCTCCTGCTCCTCCGTGTCCTCCTCCTGCTGCGCCTCCTCCTTCTCCTCCTCCTGCTGCTCCTCCTCCTCCTGCTCCTCCTGCTCCTCCTCCTGCTCCTCCTGCTCCTCCTTCTGCTCCTCCTCCTCCGGCGACGGGGACGCCCACGAGTAGCGCCACCGAGCCAACCACGACGGCGGCGGCAACGACCGCGGCGGCGGCGGCGACGACGACCGCAGAGACGCGGGCGAAGGCGCCGGCGCCTCCCTGGATCTCCTGCGCCTGGCTTTTTCCAATGCCCCCTGGAAGTCCCGGCCCCAGACATGACCACGTCGTGAAGAGAACCAGGACGGGAGATCTTGGGCCATTTTTTCGGCCTCGGGGGGCCCTCGCTGGCCCCAAGACGGCCCAGGATGCAAACCCGGCCCCGGGGAACGGGCCGGGACTTCCACGGGCCCCGTGCGGAAGAAGTCCGGGCGTCGCAGGTCTGGCTGGGACCCTTTCCCCAGGCCTCGCTGTTCGCCCCGAGTCGTCTCTGCTGGGCGGCACCAGGGCCTGGGGAGGGCCCCCAGAAGCCGAAGATGGCGAAAAAAGTGAATTTTGTGTTTGCGTGCGTGTGTTTCCAAGGATGCCTGGGTCGCCAGCGCGACGCCCCGACGCCGCTGCGCCGTCGAAGCCACCGCCGCGACGCCGCCGCGCCGACGACGCCCCGACGACAACGCCGCCGCGACGCCGCCGCGACGCCGCCGCGACGCCGCCGCGCCAACGACGCCGCGCCTCCGCCGCCGTGGCGCAAGAGCGCAGCCGCGAGCCCTGGAGCACGCAGGCCACGGCGCCGTGGTCCGCCGCCTCGGAGGCCCCCGCCGCTTTCGCCGTCGCTGCCGCCACCACTCGGGGAACTTTTTTTTTTTTTTTTTAATCCGCGGGTCGAGAGCGAGCCTCTTCCGATAGAAGCTAAGCGGGCCGCGCACAGCTTTACTTAGCAGAGGGGGGGCAAAAGAAGGCGGGGCCTCACGTCAAGGCCGAGTAGGGCAAAGCTCTGGGATCAGGCGGTGCCGAAATCGAAGTGCAGGAAAACCACTCGGGGAACACACAAGGGCAACCACATAAAACATAAACTCTTGGAGGTCGACGCGGATGTCTTGCTATCGGCGCTGGACCCCCCTCCCTATAGCGCGCGGAGCGCGTCAGGGGCGGCGCCCGGGGCGCCGCCCGGGGGGGTCCAGCGCCGATCCAAGAAATCCGCGCGGACCTCCGAGAGCCTCTGTTGATGCCCTTCTGTCTTTCCCGAACCATTGCCGCCGCCACTACCGTCGCCGTGGACCCCGAGGCCTTCCCGGAGCTTCGCCGCCTCCGTGGGCGTCAGGCGCGTCGCCGTCGCCGCGGCCACCATCACAGCCGCCGCCATTGCCGCCGCCATTGGCAACGGCGCCACTGCCACCGCCGCCATTGCCGCTCCCGCGACACTGCCGCCGCTGCAGACACTGCCGCCGCCGCCGCCGTCGCGTTTGCCGGGGCCCCGCCAGTGCCGTCGCCAGTGCCGCCGCCGCCCTTGCTGCCGCCGCCGCTGCCGCTGTCATTGCCGCCGCTGCCAGCCCAGATCTCCGACGCTCTGCTTCTCCAGCCAGCGCTCGTCTGCAATGATGGCATTGCGGCCCTGAGGGGGCTGCGTTCGGGCCCCGCCGCCATGTGGAATGGACCCGGGACGAACACCTGCCCCCGAGGAGGCGGCCGGGACATCGGGGGCCGCGGACGGAGCACACCACAAAGACACATCGGCGCACGGCAAGGACTGCCGCCACCGCCATGGCCAGGCGAGGCCAGGACGAGGACAACATCGGGTGAGGATAGATCGAGAATCTCTGAGATCCGGCGGCTCTGGAGGATGTCTCGGGCGCCGCGGCCTTCTCAGAGCGTTCCCGAACGCTCCGAGAGCACTCTGGAACGCTCTGGAACGGACTTATCCTCATCCTAGTCCCGCCCGACCCCGCCGTCATCGTCACATCGCCCGTCGGCACCCTCTTCAATCGGCTCTTCTCCAATCGCCTCGCCTGGGTAAAGCCGCCGACGCCTTCGCCGCCTCCGTCTAACCAGACCCCCGACGCCATGATCTGTTCACAACTCAACCCCCAGAGGTCTGGTCCCCTTCCCGGGGACTGGTTTGTCGTCGCCGTCGTCGTCGCCGTCGCCAGAACCGTTGCCGTCGACGTCGCCGTCGTCGTCGTCATCGTCGTCGTCAACGTCGGCGTCGGCGTCGTCGTCGTCGACGTCGCCGTCACCAGCGCCGTCGCCGTCGCCGCCGTCGTTGTCGTCAGCGTCGTCGTCGTCGTCGTCGTCGTCGGCGTCGTCGTTGGAGGAGGGAGGAGGTCCGCAGAGGAAGAGAAGGAGGAAGAGGAGGAGGAGGAGGAGGAGGAAGATCAGGAGGAGGAAGAGGAGGAGGAAGTGAATGAGGAGGAGGAGGAGGAGGAGGATCAGGAGGAGCAGGAGGAGGAGGAGGAAGAGGAGGAATCGTTCCGATAATAACGCTGCCCTTCCCTCGCCGCCGCGGATGGATGCGCTTCGAAATGCTTGTCAGGGCGGGCTCCCTGGAGAGGCCCAGGGAGTGACGGTGTCGGCACGTACCTTCTCGTGTCTCGGAGGAGGAGGAGGAGAGGGAGGGGAGCGAGGGAGGGAGGGAGAAGGATGCTGCTGCTGCTGATGATGGTGATGATGATGTTGTTGATGATGATGATGAGGAGGAGTATAACGATGATGGTGAAAATGATACTGAGGACGAGGAAGATAATGATACTGATGATGTTGCTGCTACTGCTGCTGCTGATGATGATGCTGATGATGATGATGATGATGATGATGATGATGATGATCAGGATGATGATGATCAGGATGATGATGATCAGGATGAGGATCGGTATGAGGATGGGGATGATGATAATGCTGATGAGGATGCTGATGATGGTGGTGATGATGATGATGATGGTGGTGGTGATGATGATGCTGACGATGGTGGAAATCATGACGATGATGGTGATGATGATGATGATGAGGAGGAGGAGGAGGAGGAGAAGGAACATCATGCTGATGATGAGGATGAGGAGGAGGACGAGGACTAAGACCCCCAGTGACCAGGACATATACAGTCAAGATGCTGGGTTAAGGACTACTGTGGGTTCCCGGGGGGCTCCAGCTCTCGGACCGTTCTGTGGACCCAGGTCGGGGAGCCTCTTCGTGGCCGAGGCTCGCCGTGGCCAGGCAAGCCCTGCCGTTCCCTGTTCAGCGCTCATCATGGCTGCACGATGACTGTAGAGCCTGACGCGTCGAGGTGTCCCTCGGTGAGTCTGAGAGCCCTGGCCTGAGATTTGGGCGTGGCTTCATGGGGGGGTCATAAATGGGGGGGTCAGAAACGGTCCCCTTTCGTGCCCCTTTCGGGCCCCTCCAGACCCCCAGGGGGCTCGTTTAGGTACCGTTTGGGTACCTTTTCGGACCACCCTCGCCACCCCCCTATTTATGACCCCTCCATTACGCAACGCCCAAGAGATGTGCTCCAGCAGGGGGCCCGGGCCCCATTTTGTTCTTGAGCATGGACCGACCGTCCCGGCATCACTTATAGGCCTACCACGACATGCTCCCTGAACCCAAAAATGCTCCAAAAACAGAAACAAGATTCTCAGAACATGAACCCGATGGGTTAAAACAAAACAGCCCCAGCCAGACATGTTCTAAGAACAGTTCGTGGAAACCACAACAGTTTCTTAGAGCATTGATTGGTAGGCCTATAGGCACGCCAAGACGCTGCTTGATGGGGGAGCGAGGGAAGGTCTTCGGAGGTGTATGCTCGGGCTGAGCGAAAGAGGGGGAATTGCAGAAAGGGGGGGTTGAGAATCAGCTCACGTAGCTGATCGTCCCGGCGCCTCCCGGCGCCGGGAGGCGCCCATGCATCGAGGAATGGGCCCCTCGGCGGGGCCGAAACCAGCATCACGCAGCAGATATTTTGTACCCCCCCCTTTCCCTATCCGCCCTTATGTCGTTCGGCCCGATCTGCGCCCCACCGCCGTGGCGGCCGAGGCGGCGACGGCGGCGGCGTCCCCGGAGCACCTCCGCGCCGCCTCGCCCTGCTAGGGGGCCGCTGGCGAACCCTACCCCTGCCCCCACGATTTCCGAGGGGGAGGGCGGGGTTCACATAACTCATAAGCTCCCGAGCGAAGTGAACCCCACACTCTTCCCCTCAGGCATCGTGGGGGGCAGGGGTATAGGGTTCGCCAGCGGCCCCCTGCCTGCACCGCCTCGCCGAACCCGGCGCCCCCCAGCAGCTCCGCGAGCTCCACGAGGTCCGCGCCCCCCGGGCTCCAGAGGGGGCCCAGAAGAGGCGGGCGCGCGGGGTCACCGCCGCGAGGTGTGCAGCTGGGGACGCTGTCACTGCAAGGGGCCCTGGGACACACACACACACACAAAAAAAAAAATAAGTAGACACAACTCACAGGATTCCCCATATATTCCCATATTTTTTGGGCTTGGGTCTTCCCCACCCCCACTTCCCATAGGTTCCCATCTTTCCCGTGGAATCGACGATCAATTGTGTCTCTGTGTGGTCTTTTTTTCCCTCCTGGGTCATGAGGAACCCTTTTTCCCCAGAAGATACGCTGCGATTCCCCACAGAAGAGCCAAGGGAAACCCAAGACAACCTGGAATACAACTGAGGAGCCCTGGGCCCCTCCCCAACCACGGTTTCCTTCTTCGGCGGCACGGCAATACAGGTTGGATGGTCGTTTTGGGGGTCCCTCATCGGTGCGGTGAGAGATGATGCCGGGACCTCGAAGCCCCGAAAGACCCCACCGCACGGTCTGTCACCGCAGGGTCTTGGGATCCAGGAGGCCCCCATCGCCCGAGGCGTCAGGGGAGAACGACCCGAGTCCCGACCCCGAGTCGCCACCGCTTCACCACACGGCGTGGTCACCGCACCGCTTGGGGGCCCCCGATCGTTCTGGGGGCCCTGCGAAAACAACACGCTCCTCTCGGGCGTCGGCGCTGCGTAAAGCGTCCGTCTACTTGGCTCGACCTTGAGTCGGACCCGAGTCGAGAGCTACAATCGAGCTAGAGCCACACGATAATCGAACCTCAGTGGAGGAAAAGGTACCCATGCCTCCACCCCCTCGCCCGTTTTCCCCTTTTTGGGGCTCCTGGGAGGCCCTCGTCGCCACTGCTGGATTCGCTTCGAAATCCTGGTTAGAACGCACCCCGGGAGAGGTCCGGGGGATAGCGGTATCGGTGCCTATCTGTTTCCCCAGGATAAGAGGCCTGAACACGTGCACCAGCACCAACGCAGGGGGTCTGCCTCCACAGGGGTAAGATGATCCCAGATTCCGGTGTTGGTGGCAACACTGCGGCCACCTTGGAAGCCAGATTGTTACCACCATCACCGAGATCGGGACCTTCTTCCCTCGTTGGCGGCACGCCGACGCACAGATCCGTTCCGTGGGGCCCCAGACGGGCCTCAGAGCGAACGTTTAGGGAAGGGGCCCTGAAGGAAACGGGTCCTGCAACCCGGGAGGGAAAATCCATGACCACAACGGGATCACAACAATAAACGGGACCACCTACGTCGGGGCACACATTCTTGACGTGACTCTGGAATTGCATGTGTTGCGGTGCAGTGCTGCTGTGCTGCCGGGAGGGACCGCTCCCGAAAAACGGTCGCCGAAGTTCTCCCTCGAAACCGTCAACAACGGCAACCGGCTCTACCCCCAGGAAACGGGTCCCGCGGCTTCTCGCTGCTTGGTGGCCTCCCGTGGCCCTCCGCGATGCCCTGGTAAAAAGGGGCCCAGGGACACACAGAAATAGATAGACACAATCCCAGGATCCCCTATATTTTCCAATATTTTCTGGTGTTTCGTCTTTGTCCCCATAATTCCAATATTTCCCAATGGTTTTCCAGGGATCGGCGATTCATTGTGTCGGTGTGTTGCTTCCCCTCCCGATAGTTGGCCCCCCCTGGCCCTCTACGAGCCCTGGGGCTGGGCACAAAGCTTATCCAAACGGACCGCTGGCCCTGGGGAAAAACGCCCCTGGGCCGGG